CTCAGCTGGTGTGAATCAAGTGCAGCTAATTGCAGGCAATGGAACTATTCAATTCTTGTACTATGCATGCACACGAGGGAGTTTCTATGTATTTTTTTCAGACATCCCAGCAGGTGCTCCTCACGGAGGGCTAACTGCACGTGAAGTTGGATGTCTTACCCTGCTGCCATTTTGACCTCATCTGTGCTCAGCTAACATCGTATGCGTTGTTTGGAAAGAGGAAAAAGGTTTTTTTCTGCCAACTCGCTTAAATTGCCGTGAGCTCCAACTTTCCAAAGCTATTGATATTTGGGCTGAGAGCAGGTGCAGCCCGAAAGGGAACTGGGGGAGGGGAGGACTATAATAAATGCTGCATTGCAAGTTTAGCGATAGGTTTTGCTACTGCAAAAGCGGTGGTGCTGTCCAAACACACAGGACCTGGCTCCATTACCTTTATTCCCATTGAGTAGTACCTTAGTCTGCAGGCAGTCCCCTTGAAACCCATGGAACTCATCACAGAGTAGGCTGCTGCATGGGGCTTGTCCGCAGTACAGATTTTTGCACCGATGTAAATGACACTGTTATAAAATCGCTAATGTAGGCAGGATAAGTTGTGTCGAGGGAACAGTGCTTTACTCCAGGGCTAGGGTTGCCATTTTTGGTTGGATGTATTCCTGGAAGTTTCATCACATGACATGATCTTTAATGAAAGATTAATCTGTAATTCCTGGAGACTCCCGGGCAATCCTGACAGGCTGGTAACCCTCACCAGGGCAGCACAGGTATGCTGGCCATTTCACTATGACTGGTGCAAACAGAAGCCCTCCAAGTGTGGAAAGAGTTTCGGCATCCGGATCATAAACATTTAAAGCATTTGATTATGATGAAGGGATCTCCACCCTAGCTTTGTCCTTCCTCAATTTCCAGGGCACTTCAGCCCCTAGAGTAGGCTAGTCTAATTTACGCTGGCTGGTTACAGTCCCCAAGTGGCCATTACACCAACTAGGGATTGCTGGAGCACGGTAACACTTAGCCCACACACCTCCTCTTTGGCTACACCCTCTCATTGTCTGCCTATGCCATGCAGAGATTTCCCTGTCTCAGGATTACTGAGTTTATGCCCTGTTATGGCTCCCTTGCGCTGTCAGATTATATGGAGCAGGGCGCTGCGGCCCATGACATTCACAGCTAGGGTGACCAGACAGCAAATGTGAAAAATCGGGATGGGGGTGGGGAGTAATAGAAGCCTATATAAGAAAAAGACCCAAAAATCTGGACTGTCCCTATAAAATCGGAACATCTGGTCACCCTATTCACAGCAGGTTGTCTCTATTGGAGACTGGTGTGTTGTGTTCTCCACTGCAGCATTTTGAGCATGAGCTTGATGCTGCCTTGGTGTCTGGACTGTAATGCTTTGTGTGAAATGGTGCCCTTGAGCCCCTGTGACAGGGTGTTCCATGCCCTGCTAGGATGGCGCCTCCTTCTGGTCACTCTGGGGAGTAGCTCGCGAGGTCGATGCCCCTTCCCACGGTTGCATGCCATCCTCTGCCTTTCTCTTTGGGTTTGCGGCCCCTCTTTCGCTCCACGAGCTGCTGCTACTTCTTCATAACTTAGCCCTCCGGCCAAGTCACTATATGTGTTTTCCCCTTCCGGGGTATCAAAGTCCCTTCTCCCTAGCCGTCTCAGGCAGTCTTCCCTCTCACTGCCCCAAGGTGCCACTCCCTTAGTGTCTGGTTGGGGAAACCGGGCCCATCCTCTACTCTGGGTTCCAGCTCAGGGAGCCTCTAGCCAGCAGCTAAGATCTGTTCCCTCTTAGACCTTACTGCCTTTCCCTGAGCCCTTTCCTAACCTTCTGGCTCTCCCTTCCTTCACTGGGTCTGCCAGTTTCTCCACTCCCTGCTCCTAGGGAGCAACTACATGTTACACGGCTTTGCAGCCTCCAAACACTCCTCCCTTCTCCTGAAGAGTGACTGCAGCCTTTCCCAGCAGCCCCTTCTGTTGCTAGCTACCTGGCTTTTTACAGGCCCCTCCTGTTCCTGCTGGGCTTAATTTACCCTCTCAGGATTCATGTGGGGAGTTACACCCCACCCAGCCCTCAACTGCAATCTCTGTAAAAATAACCCTTCCTGCTCCCTCAAACCACTGTCTTACTCCTGGATTCTCTGTATTTGAGGTCTAATCTCTCTCATGCCCACCTTCTGTGCTGGTCTGTCCGTGACAAAGAGCTAACCCTCTCCCCATCCCTGAACCCACTTGTCCAGGTTGGCCATCGCAGCGGGACAATCCCCCTACATTCTGCTCCCTGAAATTGCCCGTCCTGGAGCTCTCTGTGACTTAGGGTTCATCTCCCAGACCCCTCTGCTCAGCAAAACCTTCTGCTGGACCTGTGCTAACACCTCAGAGGTGCTGAGGCCTGGACGCAGGGAGTGTTCAGCTCAGTGATCACTGCGGGCGTGCTGCAGCTCTGCTCCAACACCACGGGCCATGTTTGTGCAGCCCTAACCAGACAGGAAATGTGATCTGCTGTACTTCAGAGAATGCTATTTGTGTGTATGGGGGGCGGGGGGGAGGAGTGGGCGTCAGGGGATGTATGTGCACCGGTGCTTGTTGTGAAGTGTGGGGCGTTTGAGAATCGGGGGCGTTTGTGTCTATCTGGGTGTGTAGTGGGGGGGTGGAGGCAATATCTGGGTGTTGTGAAAATGTGCCTGAGCACATCTTAGGGAGTCATCTCTGCGAGGGCTGCAGTGTGAAAGGAGCATTCTGCTCTGGTCACTACAGAGGAGAAGGTGCCAGGACTCCTGGGGTTCTATTCCTGGTACTACCACTTACCTGTTGAGTGAGCAAGTCGCTTCATAACCTCTCTGGGCCATTTGTAAAATGGGCCTTATCCCTGCCTCACAGTTGTGTTGTGGGGATTAATTAACTGAGACCCTCAGGTGCAGTCAATGTAGACGCACAGAGCCAGCGATTGTTATTTCTGTGGGGCAAGAGGTCTGTTTGTTTGTGTGAGTGGCGTGTGGGCAGACGAGTTCTGTATGCGGGAAGGGTGTGTTTGCATGTGGTGTAACTGTGTGTGTGTGTGTGGGGGGCGTTGTGTCTCAGGCCCTCTAGACACACAAAGTTGCACTGGCTGAACTACAGGCATAATTTCAAACTGATTTAGTGAAGCTGGTGCAATGTGCATGTGTGTGGTTGCTTTTAAATCAATTTACACCTGGCTTATATCGGGTTCGGTACTGGGTATGTGCGGGGGCAAGCTAACCCAGTGTAACTAGTCTTAAACCGATATCAGCATGTCCACGTGTCACTGTGGGCGTGTTTGTGTGCAGGGGGCACACACCCAGAGATATATCTTTGTGCAGCACTGTGCACAGACCAGTCTCCAATTCAGCCTAGTGCTGCAGCCTCATACCTGATTCCTTCCCGCCCCCTCTCATCACCTTTACCGTCAGGAAGTGGACGTGGTTTGGGGCTTTTTATTCTCGGCCTCGCTAGCCATTTCGGGACTCCGGCGCTTAGTCTCGCTTTGACAGGGCAAGTTAGATGCAGCTTCCTGTGCTCAAGGTGAAGAAACGACAGATCGCTGGCAAGCCCTTTGTGCTTGCAGAACTGCCCGGATCTAGCCCCTGTCTATTCCCACTAGCAGCGCCATGTGCTGAACTGAAAGCCACCCTTGTCCCACCCCACCTCTCGCCATTTGAAGGCCGGCGCCTGAGTTCCACTGGACGGACTGGTCCAGTCCCTGAGGGCCATCTCTGGCACGACTGCACAGCTAAGGAGGCCATCGCATAGGAAGGTAATGGGGCGATGCTAAGCAGCTCCCACACGGGGGTGGCTGAACTGAGAAGCTTCTTGGAAGGAGTTTCAATCTGACACATTTTTCTAGCTGTTGGCAAGGTCTAATCGTTTATTTATCTCCGTCTCTCTCTCTCTGTTTCCACATCCCTCCTTCTCTCATCGTGCCCCACATCTCCCAAGAACAGGACGGTTGTTGTTTGTTTGCTCTCTTTCTCTGAATTGAAATCTTTTATCAGAACTGGAATCTGACCGTGCCCCATGGCAGCCCTCTGGCAAGCCATCGCAGGTCCTGCCCCCTCCCACAAGGTCCAGGGTTTGCTCAAGACCCCGTCTCGTTTTGTACAACAAACCCAGGGCTTCTCTTTCGAGCACAGAGAGGGCTATTTCCCCACCACCAGCCTGGGCAAAACGAGGTGCCATTGGAGGAGCTGCATGAGTGTGGGTGAAGCCTGGGACTGTAGTGATATGGAGAGCGAATTCTCCTTCCAAGGCAGGGCTGGGTGGGGCCCATCCTTGGAGCCATGTGTGGGGTGTAGCTCAGGACTGTCCAAACATGGAGACTGGGGTGTGTGAGTATGCTGAAACCTAGATCTACCGAACATGAAATCCTTTCTATGATCCTAATTTTCCCTGTCCCAGTCAGGTTCTTCAGACTCTGTCCACTAATCCCTAGCCCCTCCACTAACACCCCCCAACACCCACAAGGCCCGTGACCCCACAGCTAATTAACTACAAGCACTCTCTGAAGTCGCTAGCACTTAGGGTTGAAAAGAAACCCCTTCATAATGTAAACTGGGTGTGACTCCAGCAGTACTGTCTGCCTGAGTCAGCAGCCTCCCTGAAACAACAGCTCTGAGTGGTGTGCTCTCATATTCATTTCAAGAAGGCATTGACTTTGTTTTCAATTTAAATGCTAGCATTGCAAAGTGTTTCACTGCTGAGCAAAGCACACAAGGAAGGAGACAGGTCAGATTATGGAGATGGTTGCAATCTGTTGAGTGGGATTTCATCTGGGCATCAGGCGTGAGCAGCTTGTGGTGTATGTAGAGCTTCAGTTGGGGGCAGACCTTGGAAGTGCCTCAGACTCCTGGTAATAGCACCAAGGGAGAAGATTACTGCAGGGATCACTCCACAGAGAAGTGTGGAACTTTGTCATCCTCACCTGCTGGGGGTGTGTGTCTTCTTCTCTCTTCCAGTGTGGGCCCCTCCTGTGTACGGCAGGGATGAAGCCTTCTCCTCCCCTTCTGCTTTGCCTCTGGCTGTCCATCCTTCTAGATGTTTCACTGGCATCAAGAATAACTCAGGGTAAGAAAGCATCCCCCTATGTCCCAGCAGGAGAATTAGGGAGGTGTGCAGATGGGGGCACTATTTATCCTTATGTGATATGGGAAGATCATTGCAATTTGAAGGTTTGTCCATGTCTTGCAACAGGGCAGGAAGCACTAAAGCAAAGCAGCGCAAGAGTGACACAATATACAAGTTCCTATTGGGAGTTCTTCATTTTGGGGCATTGAAGAAGTGAGAAGGGCCATAGATTTCTTCCATTCTTGTTTGGAGATGTTCCTTGGATGTTTCTTCAGGGCACTAGCCAGCCTATGAATTGGGCACTGCATGGAACTGGATGAAATGATCATTAATGGCTTTGTCATGACAGGATTGATGTAATGGCATCTTTTCTCCATTCACAGGACCCTCAAATCTAACTTGTTTTTATGACTCGCGGGCGACTCTCTTTTGCACCTGGGCTCCAGACAGGAATCTCACAGCAGCACCGTGCCGACTGGACGTTTTTCATGACACTGATGAGAGGTACGTGGCTGAAATTATTTAGCAAAGCCAGTGAATGTCAGGCTCTAATTGTCGTCATGGCTACCTTTGATTCTGCACAAAAAGAACAGTTTCCTTGGATGTAATAAATGTAGGGCCAGATCCTCAGCTGGAGTAGCGGGATTGATTGCAATGGAGCTGCACGGATTGACACATGCTGAGGAGCTGGCTCTCTGGGGCCTCTTCCCTTCTCCCACCCCTAGGCTAACTAAGACCTAGGCCAGCTACTCAAGTATCACTCCTCTTTTCAGTGGAAATCCAGCTGGAGTTCTTCTTCTCCTTCCTGTTTCTGTAATTGATTCATTTCCCAAAGAGCTCGACTCTTTGTGGGATGTCCTGTTCCCAGGCCATAGAGCAGGGGTAGGCAACCTATGGCACGCGTGCCAAAGGCGGCACGCGAGCTGATTTTCAGTGGCACTCACACTGCCCGGGTCCTGGCCACCGGTCCGGGGGGCTCTGCATTTTAATTTAATTTTAAATGAAGCTTCTTAAACATTTTAAAAACCTTGTTTACTTTACATACAACAATAGGTTAGTTATATATTATAGACTTATAGAAAGAGACCTTCTAAAAACATTAAAATGTATTACTGGCACGTGAAACCTTAAATTAGAGTGAATAAATGAAGACTCGGCACACCACTTCTGAAAGGTTGCCGACCCCTGCCATAGAGTAAGGGACACTAATAACTGGACTGGGGTCTTGCTGGTCTGCCGAGAGAGGGGTATAGTTTTAATGGGCCACTAGACTCTTCTAGTGAAGGGATGGGCTCCCTCATAGATGTTGTACCGCAGGCAGCAACATGTGGCATTACCTGGGTAAAATATTCTCCCCCCACAATAATATCCACTAACCCTTCCACCCTTCTCACTTCACCATGCTTACCCTTCCCTATCACCTCCATTACCTGTTTTGCACTGCCCTTGGTGGCTAGCAGGGGCTCGGTGGTCTATAGCTATGGGATTGTGGTCAGGTGAGGAGCCAGCCCCCCTTTGGTGGTTAGGTGGGTGCTCATTTGAGGAATAGGTCTGCTTTGGTTCTTGTGGTTGGTGGGTCTCCACTGACTGCTGGTGGCTTCCCTGAGACAGCGTGGGTGTGTCCACCGTAGTAGTGGGTTCGCCATGGCTGATGTGTGGGGTGGAAAGCAGAGCAGGTTTCCCTTGCATGGGGATGGTGGGTCAGAGCAAATGGGCTCCAGGCGCCTGCCCAGTACTAGGTCTTTGAACTCTGAGCTGGGTGTGGGACTGGGCAGGCCAGCACCAGTGGGGAGAGAGGCAGGTGGCAGTGGCTAGAGGACTCCCACTGAGTAGAGCAGCAGTTTGACTCCATCTCCTCCCCTCCTCTTGCAGTAGTGCCTTGCGGGGTGTGTAGGAGGAACAATGTGGTTCACCTTCTCGGTGCTCCCAGCAGCACTGGGGAGGGATGCAGGAGGCAGTTCCTCTTGCAGCAGCTGCCACAGCGGTGCTGGGAATAAAACAGAGTGGGTGGCTGGCAGGGTTTTGCCTGTGAGAGCACCAGGAGTCTGCAACTTGCCCTCCTGCCTGGTCCATAATATTTGGAATCTGATGACTTTCTGGGCACGCTGTCAAAGACATCTGTTTGAGATGGGTTTTGGAGAGGGGCTGAGAGTGTGCTCCCCACATCAGTGAAGGGTCTCTGTAGGTGGCTGGCTGAGCTCCTGTTACCATTAGTTTAATGCTGCTGGGATTTTGTTGTATTGTAGTAGCAAGGATGTCTGGGTGCCTAATGCCTTGGATGGGTGTGTATGATGATTTCAAATCTAAATAAATAATTACATGCATACAAGCCCCTCCAGCTCAGCAGTATTCTGGTCTTCTCTCTGACAGGAATCTAAGAAGGAGTTGTGAATTTCCTAGCATGGCACCCAGGAGATGTGAACTAGCCTTCGATAAAGACATTGATGTAGGTAACCCAACTGAAATGTGCTGGCTGGGGGTGGTATATGGGTTATCACTGTAATAACAGTGTGACACACAGAAGTGCTGCTACGAGATAAAACTTTATTTCCTGGTTCCAGACCCCTGACTTGGGGCAGGGTTCCAAGGGGTTAATACTCTGCCCCCTGACAGAGGTCACCATCCCAGCCAATCTGTTACAAAGCCCAGGAGGTGACACTCTAATATTACAGTGTATTTAGCTCCCTTCCTTGCATCACCAAGCACAGCCCATCAAGAACTACGCAGGCCCCAGTGCCTGTTTCCATGGGTCAGTCCAGAGCCCTGCAGCCTGAGGTCACCGGACAGTTACAGAGTTATGTCAGGCATGCCAACCCAACCTCCTCAGGCGCTGACCGTGTGTACTCACAGGGTAATGCTCTCTGAGGCTGCGTTGTCGTGGCATAAAGGCAGAGACGCTGTGACGCAACCTGATTATCCTGTCCTGCAAGACAGATGGTACTTAAGGAGCAGCCCCTGCTACCCCTAGCCAGCTTCAATCTGCTTTAGGCTCCACCCCTTGTGGAAAAAGAGATAACACTTCTTGAATATTTAACTCATCTAATCTCTGTCCCTCGGGTTCCCCAATGGGGCTAATCTAACACTGCCCTGCTTATTAAGATGTGAAAAGCACTTTGAGATTCTTAGGGCTGGAGGAGTGATGGTCGTGCGATAGAGGCCTTAGAAATGTGAACGATACATAGTGGGGTGACTAGTAATGCTAATAGCAAATTTCCCTGCAGTGTCAGGTCTTCACGGTTGTAGACTCACTTCGCCTGACTGTGTCCTGCCAAGCTGGGGAAAACGGGACAACTGTGATACAACAGCAGAAATTCGGACTGTGGGACAACAGTGAGTGTTAATCAGTGTTTGATCCCCCAAGGCTTCAATCTGTGGTTAGATCTGTCCCCTGTGCCACCTTGTCCTCCCCGGGCATCCTTCTATTTACCCCATGCCTGATCTCAGGCTTGCCTCGTCTCCCTGCCCCACTGCAACTGTATGCTCACTCGGTCACGCCGTGCCACAGGTTCGCCATGCCCCCTCCTGTTGCTTCCAGCATGGCACTGCAGCTTCCCTGAGCATTGGCTCTGACATACTGCTTGGTACCAACTACCCTCTGCCCCCAGCCTGGGTGCACTGATCTAGGGAGAAGAGCTTTGGCTGTTAAAGCTGTGTCCTTTGGTGGCAACAGTTGAGCTAGATCCTTTGTTGGTGTAAATCTATGCAGTGCTACTGACTGCAGAGGGGCAGTGCCCATTTACCCCAGCTGAGCAACTGGCCCTCTGTACTTAATGGGGAAAAAAATCCTAGCAAGGCTACAGATTGCTTGACTCTGATCCTGCTCCACTAACGTCATTGGGGGGAATTTTGCCATTGATTTCAATGGGGGCAGAAGCAGAGCGCCCTGGGGAACAGGAAAAGAGGCAATATTCACAAAATGAATTGTTCGGGACAAATGATTGGGGCGGGTTCACAGATGCGCACACCCAGTGGAACGGCCCAGAGCACATCCCCGGAGAGGGGTGTCTGCCAGTGAAGCCACATAACAGAGAGAGAGCGCAAACCGCTATTGTAGCCTTTGCTTCTGTTTCCCAGCGCCTCTCTCACTCTTCTCTTCCCAGTACAGCTGAGGCCACCTGACAACCTCCAAGTGGTAAACACCAGTGACTCCAGCTGCAACTTAACTTGGAGAATTCCTGTTTCCTCTCACTACTTAAAAAATAAACGGGAGTTTGAAGTGTGGTGCAGAGATCGCTCAAAGCCCCAGGAGGTGAGTGCAGGATCCCAGACTAGCTTCTCCTGCTGATGGGCCTCAGGCCCGTAACTAGTGGAGGAGGCAGAGCCGCCTTACTGCAAAGAGCCTGCTATTCCCGCTTGTGCTCTAGAGCCTTCCCCAGATGGCTGCAATGCCATCGCCTCAGAGGAGAGGCCAAAGGGGGCAGTGACTCCTACTTCAGCTTTATCTGCATTATCCGCTGCCAGCATATGGTGATGGCAGGGAAGCAAAGGGAAGTTCTAGTCTGCCCAGTGCTGGGATGAGAGGCATCAGAATGGTGTCCTCCCAGTATGGGACAGAGAAGACTGTGGAGATGAAAAAGGTAGAACGGGCCTCCTCCCACTGTGGAGCAGAGGGGTTATGATGTGGGCAAGGGGTGCCCTCCTGGTATAGCATTGGATAACGGATATGCTGGCTGTGAGAGTCCCAGGGCCAACTCTGCTCTAATTGGACAGCCGAGAGGTGTGATGGTTTGGACTGTGTGGGGGAGAACATAGCAATCACTCTGTAACTTTTACTCCATCCCAGACTGCCATGCTCCTCCCTATCAAGCAGGACCAGGAATGGGTGAGGATTGAGAACCTTTCGCCTGACTCAGAGTATGAGGCTGAAGTTCGCGTGAAGCCAAAGCATTATGGTTTGTGGAGCAACTGGAGCAAGACGCTCACATGGAGGACAGATCGTAGTGATGTGAATCTTGGATATTCAGGTAATGAGACTCAGAGGAGTGGGTAGGCCAGGGCTTAGAGATAGGTGAGGAGACAGCAGGGCCAGCCCTAGTCCAAATGGTGCCCCAGGCAAGGGGCGTCTTCGGCGCCCCCCCCCCCCGCCCCTTTGTTAAACCTTTGAATACCTTATTTTTTATTGAATGTGTAGGGCATATCACAACTTTGATGCACGATTTGCCTGCATGATTTATCGCTGGCATATAAGACGATAAATTTGCAAGCTAGGATCTATAAATCTGTATTTATTCATGCCATATATAAGCAAATAAAAACATTCATTTCCTCTGAGCTTATAGAAACTTTTTAATTTTAAGAATAACTGAAGTGTACTAACATCAAGAAATTGAACTGTGCACCAACACTGCGTGGGGCAGTATTAAATAGTATTACAGTAGGTGACAGCCTTAGAATGTTAACTCTAGTCCTTTAGTTCAAAAGAAGTAACAGTATATTCTTTTATATTATAACTCCTATAGATAGGCGTTCGATAGATATCTCTGGTGTTTCATTAAATATGTCCATTATTAGTTGCTACTTACTCTCTTCAAGTCTTAAAACAGAAGTAGACTTTCACAATTACACAATAAAACAAGGTTCGCAATATCGCAGCTGGGCTCTCACATTACTTCCCTTCGTTCTTATATCTCACTGACTGACTGGCAACGCCCCGCCCCTTATATATCCACGAGGGCATGGCTGACAACATTCTAGGATGTTCAAGGAAAATGTAGTTCTCAGAAAGTCTGGAATGTTCCATGAGATTTTACGAAGGTCCAGAACATTCTAGGGGGTTAGTCAAAAATGAATCCCCATCCGGAATACCTGAAACATTTTACTTCAAACATTCTATTTTCTCTTTTGTCGCTAACAACAAAAACAGCACCCCAAACCCGGCACCCCAGGTGGTCACCTGGGTCGCCTGTCCCTAAATCTGGCCCTGGGGGAGAGGTTCAGGAGAAAGGGGAGAACAAGGGCTGGAGTTATGTGGGAGCAGGAAAAGTAGGGGAGTGGAGGGATGCACAAATCAAAGTACAATAGAAAGACTGGAAATAGCTTGAGAGGAGCCTTTCCTGTAATCCTAGATCCAGGTGAGGTGAGCAGGGCCTGCTGGTCCAAAGGACAAGAGCCCCAGAGTGAAGGCCTGGCCCCATTGAAGTCAATGGGAGTCGGGCCAGGATTCCAGTCACAAACTCCAGTGGGGGCCCCCTCCCTAAGTGCAGCAGAGCAACTCCCTGACCAGGGGAGCAAGAGGCCTGGGAAACACTTTCCAGAGGGCCCCTGTAACTTAGGAGCTTACGTCCCATTTTCAAAAGTGACTTGGGCCCTTTGGGCTTAAGGCTCACCAAAAATCAACGGGACCTAGGCTCCGAAGTGCCGTGGGGCCAGATGTTTAAATGTCCTTAGGTGCCTAACGCCTATTGAAATTAATGGGAGTTAGCTGTCTAAACAGCTTCTGCAAAATGTTACCCCAGGACTCCCCCGTAGGCAGTGCAGAACAGGGCTAGCTGTCCAGGCCAGTCAGAAGCCTGTGCAGCCTGCAGCCTTGGCAAATACCATCTCCAGCAGGGGTGTCTGGTGAGTCCTCGGCTCCTTTTAATTTTAGTTTCTTCACAGGAAGTAGGCAGCTCGTGGGTCCCCCCACGCTGAGGCAGGTAGTGATATAAACAGAGCAGCTATGTTTAGAAGGGGCAGTGTGTTGCTGTGGCAATCAAACTTTGATAGCATATGATGTCAGTGAAAAGGATTCAGCTACAACCAGTTGTTGTGGCAACTGGGAGCCAAAGTTACCTGAGGTGGAGGAAACAAAGGGATCTTAGTAACATCTCAAGGACATGAGGGAGAAGCTTCTCCGAAGGTGTCCCACTGTTCCTCTCTTTCCTCTCCCTCTTTTCTCCTCTGCATCCTTCCCCCTCTTCCAAGGGGCTCGGCAGGTCCAAAACGAGGTGCACTGGCAGAGGGGACACAAGATGAAGAGTAACAGGAGTGGGGCAGGATGGAGCTGAGGTGCATTTGCAGAGCTGTGTAGGAGAGGGAATAGCAGGGGGGCGGCAGGTCAGGGATGAAGTGCATGGTCATTGCAGTCAGGACAGGAAAAGCAGAGAGAGGCTGTAGGTGAGCTGTGAGATGCATTGGCAAGGCTGGGGAGGGGGGGTTCAGATCTGTTCCTGATCACAAAGGCATGCTGGCTGGCAGACTTGTGTGGCCAGTCACTCACTTATCTGACTGGGATCTCAAACCTCTTTGTTCAGAAGTGAAATAAAACCCAACTGGAGTGACTGGGGTTCCCACTTCCTCTGTTCTGGCTGTCACTTTCTAGTAACTCTCTCTCTCCTCTTGCAGAACTTCCCCTGGGGGACCTCCAGCTTACGATGCCAGCCCTTGTGGGGACCATCTGCACCATCATCTTCGTTGTCATCATTGTCTTGATCATCACCTCACAGCCATTGAAAAGGTAAAAGGGACATGAATGGTCCTCTCCAGTCCTGTCCCAGGCCCAGTGTGTCTTTCTGTCCTCATTTTCTTTCTCTCGGATGAGGCCAGAGTCCCTTAGTCTGATTTGGAGCCGAGTCATTCCGCCTCTCTGGGTTGCTACTGGCATTGTCCCAAGGGACGGCCTGACGTTGAGGGAATTCAGTGTTTGCACTATGATGTTGAGATACTGTGACACAGTGTGATGTCATAACATCACCAAGCTCAAAATAGCCACAGGATACTCTCTCTTTGGGCAAGATTTTTAAAGGAATTCACATTGAAATCAACAGGAGTTAGGTGCCTAAATATCTTTAGAAATCTGACCCTCTAGCTGAAATTCATCTTTGTGTAGAGGAACCAGAACAAGGCCTATGCACCTCTTAATCTCTCAAAACAGGGCTAAAGTGGGACATGAGCAGGGCTAAAGAGGCCCACTGCATAAGGTTTGGATTTCACCCTCTGATTATAGGTCATGGGACAGGCCCCTGCAGTCAGGATAGTTCTACAATATTTTGGTGGGATGCTGATTTAAACCTCTTCCTGCCCATCATTTTTGTCCTAATATTGTTCTTAATCAATGCTGAACGTGCCGCACGAGGGCACCCGGTACAATAATATAGAGAATAGCCTGACAGCATCATGGAAATTGAAAGTGGCTTCAGATTTAGTCACCTCATTTCAGAAAGGGACACAGCAGAATAGAAAAGGCACAGAGAAAAGCAATCTAAATATCAGAGGGGGGAGGTGTTTCAATATAAAGATGGATTACAGAGGGGGACTATTTCATTTGTAGAGGAGGAGAGATTATAGGAGTATGTAAAATGATTATGGGAATAGAGAAAGCCAACTAGCCTCTCCTGTTTGCCCTGTGTCATAATGCGAGGGCAAGGGAGCACTCCATTTACAACACATATAAACACAGCTAATCCTCGTCCCTTGATGTATAATTAACCTGTGGAACTCAATGATGCAGGATAATGCTGTACAGAAAAGGATTAGACGTGCAGGAAGGAAAATAGCATCTGCAGTGATGCAAGCTAGTATAAATGTACAAGGACTATCAAATTCTCCTGCTTCAGAGCACAGGGGTCAGGAGGAATTTCCCTCACCATAGATTATTGCCCAGTAAAGGTGCATTAGGAGACCTTTAGGCATCTGAAGGATTTGGTATTGGCCACCTTGAGAGACAGGAAAAGTAGACCAGATGACTTGGCTCTGGTATGGTCTGGCAATACCAGTGTAGCTTCTTATGTCATGATGATATAAGGCATCATGAAGTGGTGCTGCAGTGTGAATGCCATACAACACTGCCATGCAGCATCCTGATGACAGGGCATGGAGACTGTGGCATTGCCATCTCATGCTGCCATTTCATGAGGGCACTGCAATCTCTGCATCACTGTGATGGCAACCAAGTGAGGCACAATCAGCTCATGGCAACAGGCCTTGGAAACCATGCCAGCAATTTGGAGCAAAGATGGCGTCTCTCCCAGCTTGGCAGCTAATGAAAGGAATGGACAGGCCTGGGCAACAGGGAGAGGCAGGCAAGGATGCTGGTGAATGGTGGCATTATCAGCTCTGGGGATAGGGCTGAGGGAAATAGCTTTTGCAATGCCATTTTCTCTCTCAGTTTCTGTGTCCCCAATACATCCATCAGCAAATGTGGAGATTTTCTCAGGCTACTGGTGGGGGATGGGGGATAAAGAGCCCTGGGGCTTGGTTCTCCCTTACTTACACCACTTTTACACCAGCATAACTCCAGTGACTTTAGTGGAGTTACTCTTCATTTACACTGGTGCCAGGGACGGAGGGTCAGGCCCCTGGAAGACCACAGGTCTCCACATCACGTTCACTTCTCTCTCTCTCTCTCTCTCTCTCTCTGGTGAAGGCTTAAGAAGGTGCTGAAGATTTACATTCCAGACCCAGACAAGTTCTTTCCCCCGCTGAGCACTGTGCACAGAGGCGACGTTCAGGTACGGGGACCAGGGGAAGGTGGGCTGTTCGTGGGAGGGGGTCAGAGAAGGACGAGCTGAGAAAGAAGGAGAGGACTGGCTGCCTCCCTCATGCTGCAGATGGATGGGAAGGACGTCCAGCTCCCAGATCTAGTGTGTGCATCACTGGACCCTCCAGCACTGGCTGCTGCTGGGGGATTTGCTTTAGTTTTATTTTTGACCTTTCTAAGCTGCCACTTCTGCTCCATCTCTAATTAGAGAACTGAGAAAGTGCAAACCACCAAACCTCAGACCTCTGCTCTGCTGACAGGAAGGGCTGAGAGAGCACACAGGAGTATAGGAGAGTTCATGCCTCTTGGAGTCCATCCCACCCTGCCTCTCTGCCTTCTTCTTCGCTTCCTCTAGCCCCTCCTCCTGCCATTTGTCATGTTCTCCCTCTCTCTCCCTTCAACTCCTCTCTCTTTCTCTATCGCGAGATCCCTTTCTCTTTCTTCCTCCCTTTCCTTATGGAGATCACGCAGGGAAAGCTCTTGAGGCTGGCTCCTTATCTGAAAACGGCTCAGAGCCTGGTGAGGGATCCCCAGGGACCTATTCCCTATGGAGAGCCCAGAGGAGTGATGATAAGGGCGTATATTCTGTATGGGAGATGTCTGGAGTGTATTCATCATGGGCATGAAGGAAAAGAGACCCTAGGCCTCTGTGTCTCTGTTGTGAGGATGTTATACTGCTGCCACTTTGAACATAACAATATCTCTTCTGTGTTCCCCCCCCTTCCCCTTTAGAAGTGGCTCTCCTCTCCATTTTCCACGTCTCTCTTCAGCGTGAGCAGTATCTCCCCAGAAATCTCAGAGCTAGAGATAATTCAGAAGGAGAAACAGGACTCCCAGCTCCTCCTTCCCAAGGCCTTTCTCACCTCTGGTGCCCCCCCAGAAACCAGCGGGCACTCACTGACCAGCTGCTTCACCAACCAAGGGTACTTCTTTTTCCACCTCCCTGACTCCTATGAGATTGAGCCCTGCCAGGTGTATTTCACCTACGAGCCCTTCGCCCGGAAGAGCAGTGGCAGTGAAGATGGTGATTCCTATGGAGCACTCCCCTCCCCAGATCTCTGCATGCTGGAGGACGACCTGCCACTCTTCTCCTCCGGATTTCTTCATTGCATCGAAGCAAACCAAGGTTTCCAGAACAGTTCTTTTGTGGGAGAGACACAGAGCACAACCAATGGGCTTGGGGCACTTCCTGAGGCTCTTCTGTCACCCGAGAGCTCCTCCCCAGCATTGGTATTGGAGCAGGATGAGAAGGTGAATGGAAATGTCACAGTTTTACAGCTCTCTGAATCCCAACAGAAGCCTGGCATGGTCTTCTCAGATATCCCAGGGCTGCATGACAACGATACCATTCAAACCACAGAAGAGGCTGAGGACGCAGACCCTCAAATCAGTTCCACTACTACTATGGCAGATGCAAGCTCTTCGTTTTCCCAGCCCATGCCTCTGAGGCAAGGTCAAGCTGATGATCTTCACAGGACTGCTTCCTCCAGCCAGGTCCCAAACACTGGGGCCTACCTATCTTTGAGTGAGCTCCAAAGCCAATACAACCATCATTCGGTCTAAGATCCGCCTCAAGAACCTTCTGAGCTTAAGGCCTTCTCTGGAGGGAGAGATGGACAAACATACAAACTGTCTGAGAGAACAAGAAGTTGAACATTAGTTTTAACAAACCCAATGGGACTTATTTATTGAGTAGCATGGAGAGAAAGACCCTTGTATTTTTCACTGTTGCAAGGGAATGGGACCTTTGGTGGCACATGGAACGAGCATGATCCAAACCTACAACCTGAAGGGAAAGTAACGGCCCTAATAGGTCAGCTTTGGATTGGGGATGTGTGAATGTATGAAGGGATGAAAACCTAAGAAAAAGGATGCTCAGGAGGAGAGATGTGTGCATGGATGGATTCCGTGGTACAGACAACACCATGGATAAGCTGACAGCTTGGTAGATACTGTGACTGGATGGATACCATGGAAGGAGAACTAGATAGACGAATGGGTAGACAAATGGATAGAGATGAAATTGAGAAAGTCAGAAAGGGGCATTACAACTATTAAAGTACATAGAGCAAATGGAGAAAGAGAAATTGGATTGCTCTGCAACTCGGCGTGAAGATAGTACCAAACTCTGAGGCTGAGCAGCCAAACTTTCCATCCCTCAAGTACCAATTTACAGGGCATGCAAGCATCTACCGGGGAATAGAAATACTTGAGAAGGTGGAGGTGGTGAACTGCTCGTGAGTGCTGGGGGCTGCTGAGGATGGAGGTGATGGAAGGTGTTAAGGGTGGTCCTTACTGATTGGCCCAGGGTTTAGTTCATTTCCTGCATCCTTCCCACTCCAGTCTGTGTGAAGTGAATGTTCTAATGAGCTTGGTCCCAACCAGATATCTGGGTTTGGGCTTGGGTCTTCAAAGACAATTCAAAGCCAGAAATGAGTCAAGGGATGTGATAAAAAAAAACAATCCCTACTATCAGCAAAAAAATACTGGGGAAAATTCCCCCATCTTATGGGGTGTGGGGGAAGCAAGTGAGATGCTAGCAATAAAATAGAGCACAACATTTCCCATTCTTGCTGCAATCTTTTCATGAAATCAAAAGCCTCTTTGCCCTACAGACCAAAACCCTGTCATTCGACTGTGATAAGATAATTGCAGAAGAGTCCGTCCCACATCCTGTAGTAAGTGGAAATCATCTAATTGGTAATCCCCATTCCTTCCTTTGCTTGAGGGGAATCATTGCCCAATTAGCAGTAAAGGCAGATAAATCAGCTCCAGATAAATGACTTCAGATCATCACCGTTGCCTAAAGCCAAAACTCGGTCCATTCATTTGGCTCAAAAAATTTTTTGGATAGCATTTTGTAGTGCCTCCATATTTACTGATTTGGGGCAGAAGTGCTGAAATAATCCGGGGAGGTCGGGGATAGAGGGAAGACTGTTGATGTTGGTTCCATGGTATCTGTCCATCCATCCCTCTGACCATCCTTTGTATCGTATCTTTTTCTTGACATCTTTCCAGACCTGTCTAGACATGGGAAATACCAACCTCATGCTAAAAAGACCTGAGCTCTCTCACATGAGATTTCCAAACCAAAGAAATTTGGATAAGCATCCAAACTTTTGAGGAACATATCCAAACCTTTAGGACGCTTCTGTAAACCTTCTGAGATTCACCCACATTTAGTTCACTGTTCCCCATTTCCACACTAGTGTTGAGTTTCCCCCTTTGTCCTGGTACTCATGTTCCAGCACCAAAATTATTCCCCCAGTTTTCATTCTCCTGAGTTATTAAATTGAACGCTTTGCTTGTCAGATAAGTGGGTGTCCAATGGGTTTGATTTTGTCCGTGAAAGTGCTGCTGATACTGCAATAGGATGGAGCCTGGCCTGATTAGCATTGAGAGGTTTCAGGGAGCCAACCCTTTCCTGTATCACTTTCTCCAAGCCACTGCACATGTCTCAGGATGCCTGTCATCCCACCATCTCAGAGACTGGGGATAAAGAAGGGATAACTGCTTCCCAGCTGAGTGAGGACAAGGCCACCCAGTGTATTTACTGTGCTATTGGAAGCTCTCAAGACGCACCATAAAGAGTAAGCACTGCCAGGCTGGATGCTAGCTTAGATGGCCAGTAATCCCATCGCGGTTCCTAGGTATTTCTTCATAAGCTTCTTAATCATTCTTGCTGCTAAAACGAGTAACAAAAAAACCTGCCTTTTTGTCAATAAAATAAAAATCAATGCAGTGTCAAAATAGCATGTTTTTCATTGCCGTTTGGTAGGGGAACTTGGATATAACCAATGCTACTGGTTGGATGGAAGTGAGTTCTTGATCACAGTTCAGGGATCAGGAAGAGGGCGTGAGGGGGTTAGCTCTTGGTCACAGATAGTCTGCTGCCTAGACAATGAGTTCAGTGGACAGAAAGGGGATTTGCCTTTAGCCAAAGATTGTTGGGCATTGGTAGATTAGGCTCAGGGAGCAGAAGGGGGTATTTTAGGGGATTACCCTTCACTCATAGATAGTTCAGTCGTTGGGCCTGATCCAAAGCTAGTCTCCTGTGGGCTGAAATCCTTTGATCTAATTTCAGTTGTTGGGTTTAATGTGAGGGTGTGGCTGATGTTGGTGGCTATACAGGAGGTCAGATTAATTGTGCTCCCTTCTGGCTGCCTTATACTCTATGACTCTATTAAAAGAATGTCAAGACTCCCATTGACTTCAATGGGCTTTGAATTAGACCCTTTGGATAGCAAATGTAGGGATCAGATAGCAGCTTCAGGGGGATGAACCCTCATTCACAGACAGTTGGGTGCTGGAGCACTGGGCTCAGGGAGTAGAAAGGAGGAATAGTTTCCAGTCACAGACAGCTGGGTAATTGGATAGCAGCTTCAGGGGAAGGGGAAGACATTTCAGGGGAATTAACCCTCAGTCACAGACAGTGATAGGGAGGGTGGAAGTAACGTAAATTGTATTTTAGAACCTAGTCACTATGATCCTCTCCAGATCGACTCAGGAAGTATCGCTGGCAGCAAAACTGCCGCAGGCCACCGAGAATCACTTGGCCGACTAAATATTTTCCCACTTCTGAAAATGCGAATGGTTTTCAAGCATGTAAGCTGCTAGAAGTGAGACAGCAGCCACTCTGGGGTGTGAATGTGTGATGTGCTGTGGCAGGAAGTGCTCAGCATAAGTTCTGAAGATAACTGGACCTTTATTCCAGGAAGCTAGGTCATGTGGTCTAAAGTTGCTGCAGATGTGAGATTAGTTGAGTTGTGGCATAGAAGAGCCATTGCCAGTTGCTTCACGACCCTTTGCTGCTGAGTCCTGAAGACTCCTTGGAAGTGCCATGAAGGTCTAAAGGGCCCCAAGCTGATCCAAATGTAGCATGGACAAAGCCACAAAAAAAGTGCAACACAGGACAGTGTCCATCAATTATAGTTTCCTTATTAAATTGAACTCCAGCACCAGTGAAAAGTGCGGGGCCAGCAGTCCTGGAGAAAGAGGCCGCTATTTATCTTGAGCGCAGGTACAACATAGATAGTAGCAATGCAGGTTTACACACACACGCTACCCTGACATCCTACCAATGTACCTCATTTCTGACCTGCGGAGAGCTGCACAACAGCCAGTCCCCATCCCGCACCATGGGACAGTGGAAATTCAGGGCCAAATTCAGCCTTGATGGTGCAACTCCTTTGAAGTCAGATTTACTTTTGGGTCTGTGTTCTTGGTTTATTCATAGATACCACAGTGATGAATGTGGTACTCAGATTGGTTAGATTAGATGAATGTCTACGCATACAGCACTGCAACGGCAACGCAGTAGTGTGTCTCGTGAAGATGCTCCATGCTGATGGGAGAGAACTTTCCCATTGGCATAATAAAACCACCTCCCGACATAAGGCTGTCCACAGCGGCGCTTATGTCAGTGGGACGGTTTACTCACACACCCCTGTGCAACATAAGTTGTAGTGTAGACATAGCCTGGACTCAGTACTTGGCCTCTCTACGAAGACCATAAACAAAGGCGAGGCAATTGTTTTCTGGAAGGAAGGATGGATGATCTTGTACTGAAGATACTGGCCTGGGAGTCAGGACATCTGAGTTCAATCCCACTGTCACAAACTTTCCACGTGACCTTGGAGCACAATTTTCAAAAGCATCCAAATCACATAGGAGCCTAAGTCCCATTTTCAAAAGGAATTTAAGTACCTAGGAGCCCACATCCCATTTATTTTCAATAAGACTTAGGCTCCTAAGTCATGTAGGGGTTTTCTAAAATTTTACCCTTAGGTGCCCAAGTGCCAGATTTGTAAAGGTATTAGCCACCTAGAGAGGCAGATAGGCACTTAAATGCCTTTAAAATATGGCCCTAAATCACTTTTGAAAATGGGACTTAGGCTTCTAAGTCCCTTAGGCACTTTTAAAATGTTTATCTTTAGTCTCTCTGTTCCTCAGTTTCCCATTTGTAAAATAGTGGTGATAATAACCCTTCCCTGAATCCCAGGGTGTAGGGAGGATAATTTCATTAATGGTGAGAGGTGCTCAGATATTACAGTGACCAGAGTTGGATAATAAACACATAGTTTTGGTGATCTGAGCACTTGTCCACTAAAAACTGAGGTAAAGACACTGTATAGTAACAGGTTTCAGAGTAGCAGCCGTGTTAGTCTGTATCCGCAAAAAGAACAGGAGTACTTGTGGCACCTTAGAGACTAACAAATTTATTTGAGCATAAGCTTTCGTGGGCTACAGCCCACTTCATCGGATGCATGTAGTGGAAAATACAGTAGGAAGATATATATATATATACACACAGAGAACATGAAACAATGGGTGTTACTATACACACTATAAGGAGAGTGATCAGTTAAGGTGAGCTTTTATCAGCAGGAGAGAAAAAAACC